AGTATATACAGGGAAAAGAAAGCCAACCAAGTCTCAGTATTTTGAGATTCCTCTTTTCCTTCCTTAAAGAGTTAAACGATATGAGCAGGGCTGTTGTGTATAGTGGTGCTGTTTCCATACTGCTCCAGTGGTGCGTGTCCAAGGGAGCAAGCACAGGCTAGCACGTAGCTGGTGTTCTGCTCACCTGGCTGGGGGCCCTGGCATGGAGCTGCAGTTGCCCACAGGAAGAGTACCATTTTCTTCTCACAAAAAATATCTTTCAGGCCTTGAAGTTATTTATACTATTTTCCCCTCTTTCTTATATCTCTTTGAGAGTTGCAATTTACTGATTTCACTTTTGGGGTTCCTAACACCATGCATGGACTGGAGTCGAAAGAGGAGAGGGCAGACCCATAACTGAATCTCCATAAGACGTATTTTGATATGTCTTCCAGGTCTTTTCACTCTTTGGGAGCGTGTACCTCAAAACCAAAATGTCTTAAGGAGCACTCTACTCAGGCTAAAGTGGAGTAAGTGTACTGTCCTGCAGAATCTCTGGCCTATTTTCTTCCTTCGAAATCCAGAGATAATCATATTAACATTTAGCAAACTTTTTTCTGACATCTCTTTATGCATATAATTATACACATACAATTGTACATTAATGAGCTTATTTTCTGTTTTGTAACATCCTTGTTTTCACTCTGTATTATTTCATGGTCATTTTTCCAAGTCAGTGTCTACAGGTCTGTGCCATGATTTTAAAAGAATAGGTAATATTCATTGGGTGGATGGGCTATACCATATTTAACCAATGAAGGCTGACGGATATTATTTAAGTTGTTTATAATGTTTTGCTCTTAAAAATGAATCTGAGGTAAGAACGCATCTACAATACCATATGCACACATGTGTGCTCACACTGTTTTCACTAATAGCAGAGTTGCTTGTTCAAAGAGTTCCAACTCAAATATTAATCTCTGTGAGGGAGAAAGTATAACACTTCCTCATAATCCTTAGACCAATAGTGGTGGGTTAAAAATGACATTGTTTGGAGCCGGCCCGGTGCGCACTGGATAGTGCGCCGCTTGGGAAGCATGGCGGCGCTCCCGCCCAAGGGTTCGGATCCCACATACAGACTGGTTCCCGCTCGCTGGCTGAGCGAGGCGCGGGAGCAACACCGAGGCTTGCAATCCCGTTGCCGGTCCCCGGTCCGGTACGGGGGCAACACTGAGGGTTGCGATCCATTGCCGGACACGGAAAAAAGACAAAAGACAAAAAAAAAAAAAAAATGACATTGTTTACCATTCATAAAAACACATATTTGAAGATTCCAATTTATAGTCTTGAAGCAAACTTTGGAATATACATTTAGCAGCTCTCTTGATTGTGTATTTGGGATTGAATGTGGAAATACTTTGTAAATCATGTAGTGCTACACAAACTGTCACTAAACGTTCATTACTAGGGCTTTACAGAGTATCTGCCATATACTCGTTTATGGAATCTTTTTATTTATTTATTTTATAAATAATATATTAAATACAGGGCATTGTGGGGAAAACAAAGACAGTGGTTCTGAACCTGGTTGTAGAGCAGAATAAACCGAAGAGGTCATCAAGAAAGCAAGTCCCAGGTCTTGCCCCCAGATCTCCTGAATCTTTGTGAGCAGAGGCTGTCCCCCACTCCCCCTGCTATGATGTGGATGTGTAGTCTTTGTTCGGAGTTCCTCCTTTAAGACATTCTTTGCCTATTTTCAAATGCTTTTCTAACAGAATAAAGAATATTTTTAGCTTTTATTCACATCCCTATAATTTTTATTTTTCCTGTTTGGAAGTTTCTGGCTCCTTCAAGGATGTTGTTAGAGGATTTTCTCAATGCCTCGTTGATTCAGTCCCAATTTTGTAAAGCTTGTGAAGCCTAAAGTATGTGTTCTTGGTCTGTTATTTTCATCTGGTTTCCTACCACGGCAAACCCATCCCATAGCCCTTGTTGTTTGTACCAATAAAGAATGATTAAGCTTGTAATGATTGTACTTTTAAACTTTGAATGAGTGATAATCTCCTACTAGCAAGTATCCTGAGAGCGAAGCCTATAAATTCCTCATCCTTATAATACTTAGTACATACAGAGCCTTCTGTATCTAAGACCATGTATGTAGAAGGTTTCATACCCATGAGTAAGAAAAGTGAGGCTTTGGTAAATAAAGTTGGATTTCACTATAACAAATACCTTTTGTTATGGCTGGCTACATTTACTCAGTTTCTGCATGTTCAGAGGGCCTTTTATTTTTCATCTCTTAGTGAGAGAGTTAATAAAAAAATTTCCACTTTTAAGCAATTTTTTTTTTTTAATTTAGGCAATAGAATAAGCAATCTGCACACATGGTTTCATTTAATTCTTTGGTTCCAGGAAGTAGGTGAAACACCTCCCTGTTGCAATTGGTAAACTAAGGGTCTGGAATTTTAAGAGATTTACCCAGAAATCATGAAAGTCTTACATGTTGGTGCTAAAATTTGAACATGGGTTTGTTTGATTCCAGAACTTGTGCTCAGTGAAGTTACTGGTTTTATCTTTCCTCTTTTTAAAAAAAATTTTGTTCTTGGCCACTGAATATCTGTATAAAAAACAACAAAAGTTTATTTCCATTCCTTACCAGTTTTTCAAAAGAAGAACAAGATTTCCTAAGAGTTTGGTAAAACATCCATGTCTTTCTTTCTTTCTTTTTTTTTTTTTTTTTCTGACAGGTTTTACATAATTAAATGATAGCTTTCTATTTGTTTTAGCTACAATTTTAGAAAAATGTGAATCTGAGATGGAAAAGCAAAAGCCATGCTGTTGGGAAGGTGCTGGTCAGAGACTGGCTGATGAGTTAGGGAATATGGCTTTCCTTCCACATTGCTTACACAATGGTTTGAAGCCACTGTACTACTCCACTGACTTTCTTTTTTACATGTCCCCAAATGGTGAGAGGTGAGAGACCTTGGAGCTAGAAGAGAACTAATATGTGTTTCTCTCTTATTAAAAAGTGCCCCTGGTAAATTATAACCCTCTGCGTGGGAAAGTCATGGGATAAATCATGGTGGGGGGAATTGTTTGCTAACTTGTAAGAAATCAAAGCGTATCAGTGAGTGGTCAGCACACTGAACAACAGGTCCCTCTACGCTGTTGTCATTTTGTTCTTAGGCAGCATGAAGAATTTGGTGACAATGATAAAATGTCATTATCAGAGCACAAATAGATATGGGTATAGATTTACAATATCTAAATTTACAGATATGTATTCTTGGTGTAGGTGTAGATGTGTATTCCTGGTGCCACTAGGAAAACCTGATCTATTACAACATTAAAACTAGGAGAAATTTCTTTAACCAGAGGGATGCTCTTCTTAAATATAGCTCTTTCCTATGAGGAAGTGACAGATGTGGACAGCTATAAACATTCACAGATGTTAGCATTTGTGAATCTTGCATTGGGAAGGATGTTTCCATCACAATCATCTGGATTTGAGTGAAACGCTAGGAGAAATTTCTTTAACCAGAGGGATGCTCTTCTTAAATATAGCTCTTTCCTATGAGGAGGTGACAGATGTGGACAGCTATAAACATTCCCAGATGTTAGCATTTGTGAATCTTGCATTGGGAAGGATGTTTCCATCACAATCATCTGGATTTGAGTGAAACCTTTGCTGTAGTCAACAGTCAACTCCTGGAGGTCAGGGACCATGTCTTTATTTCTTGTATCTCTAATATTGAGCAAAAAGGTGGTACATAGTAGGTGTTTGGTTACAAGCTGGCTCAGTTTTACAGCAGTTTGATCAATTCTTTGAGCTGCTATTGATAGATATATAGCTGTACTATTTATTTGTATGCAAGATCTTGGAATATGCTGCATAACTTGCATGACCAACCAATAGACCTTCTCTGAACCTTTAATTCTGATTTTGTTAATTGCCTGATCAAATACTGGCTAGTGACAAGGCATGGACTATTAATGACTAGGATGATGGAATAGAGAGAGTTTACTCAAGTTGCTGTTGAGCTTTTTGGACGACAGGGTTAATATTCAGATTGAGTGTAATAGACACAAATAAGCAGAACAAATGAACAGAGACCATTAGGGAAGTACAACTTTTGGAAAACTAAATATAACATGGGGAACTATGTTTGTATAAGTTTTGGTGGGACTTGTGAGTCAGCAACGTACTGCTTTATTTTCTTAATTGTTGGGCAGCCACTGCCAGTTAACCACAGGAGCATAACATGTAGGAACTGCTGGGCAACATTTCCAAAATACTTAGCATTAGTCAGATACTTTTTAGAATTCAGTGTCCACTTTGGCTGAACGAAAATGTGGAGAATTTGGCAAGGGTTCAGAGCGTGGCAACTAGATGCAGAGGAACACTGGAAAGATAGGTCCATTGAAAGAGGCTAATAAATAAGGATTCATTACTCAGCCTGATCAAAGGCAGTTGAAGGGTGATTGAATTAACGGTCTACTGTTGCATGCGTAGTTATTATGTAGCAGATGATGTAATTATTTCTACTGTGAATAGAATTATGGAAATGGATTTACATTACAATTAGGGGAAATTTTGAAGGAGCCTAAAGAACTTGATTCAAGGATTGTTGGAGAGTGGAAAGATTTCTGAACTGGAAGTATGAAATCATGTTCCTTACAGAATAGGACTAGGGTGGGTATGGCATGCCAGTTAGAGTTAGGTATAGTTGGGGTAGAAATGGACAAACTTTCTAGGTCACATTTTGTGCTACTCATCTCACATTGTATTTGACGTTTTCAGAAAGTAGATAAGTATTCCCTTTTTGTTTGTATTTTTTCATAGTTAATACAAATACAGAGACTTTACTTTTAATGTTTTTATAATGCATTTCCAGCAAGTAAGAAGTTAAAATGCAAATTGAAATTACTTCACCTACAAGTCAGCTTCTGCTCATTCTTCTATAAGCCCTTGCAATATTGTCAGTTCCAACTCTCCTTTTCTTTTTCTTCTTTAGAAAATTCTGTGTGTCCTCCTCGCTTGTTCTACAATGAGTGCCAAATCTGCCATCAGCAAGGAAATTTTTGCACCTCTTGATGAAAGGATGCTGGGAGCTGTCCAAGTCAAGAGGAGGACAAAGAAAAAGATTCCTTTCTTGGCAACTGGTGGTCAAGGCGAATATTTAACTTACATCTGCCTGTCAGGTAATGAAAACTCCATATCACTATCATTGAAACAACTTTTATTTTAAAACAGTTCGTTCTAAGGTGTCCAGAAGGGTGTTATATTCACTGTTTTGTAGATGTCTGCTCTTCCAGTCCTCTTTCCTATTTCTCTGGTGTCGTCTTATCCTTATTCACTTCTGGCATCTCTATTTTTGAGGTCGCCTTGTATTGGAATGGTAGTGAAATTCAATTTTCATGTATTTTGCAGTTTAATGAGAGCTTCCATAAAGGGCGTGGCACATACATTTGTTTGCCCGTACTTTTCTTCGCTAGGACATTGACAAAGAGATGGCTGTCTTCCAGGATTTTTGTTGTAGAATAATCCCTGGTATTTGTATAATTGTTATTACTAGCACCCTGAATTTCATTGATCTTCTTTTTCCAGGCAGTCGCCAATAATCAGTATTAGTTTTTCTCAAGATAAATATTGGCACCTTATGGAATATGAGAAAATCGATTCAGTTCACAAATCATTGCTTTGCCTGACAGCCATTCCCTTGTCAGGGAGAGGCATCTGTTTTATTAAGCTTAGAATTTTGTTGGATTTTTTTTTTTTTTATATCTTTCTGTTTGTGATTATAAGAGGTCTGTGGAATTTGCTGTGGATCCATACCAAGTTTTTTGAGATAAAATTTGGATAAATTTTCCATAGAATTGTGGATGATGTTAATCTGAATGCCTGGGGCATTTGTAATATTTCTGATAATATTTCTTGTAATGCATTAGTGGAAGAATTAGGTTTACTTTAATTCATGTTTTTTAAAAATTTCCTTCACTTTTGGTTTGAGAATAAAACTTTAATTTTTTTGGACCCATTTTTACCTTCTTAAAAAGTAGGCCTCTGATCATTTACATTCATCAGAATTTATTTCAGGGTGGAAATAACTGTTTACCAGAAAGAACCTGTAAATTTATAAGACCATATCTTAGATTAAAATGAAATAAGAACACAGCACTTTGGTAAGAATGACTTTTCAATGGTTAGAAGAAAGCTTTTATTTAAATGAGTATGAGAGAATTGACCTTGAAACATTGGTTTCTTTCTTTATACCAAATAAGAAGTAGGTTAATAAAATTTGGTTATTGTTAGAAAATATTTGTATCTCTTTAGTGTGCTAAGCAGTGCCTTGCATATAGAAGGGGCTCATTTAATATTTAATAGCTAAGTAAAAGAAAGATATAACCTTTGCTAGTACCCTCCTAGTGTTTTGTTAATGAGGGTTAATAAAATTTGGTTATTGTTAGAAAATATTTGTATCTCTTTAGTGTGCTAAGCAGTGCCCTGCATATAGAAGGGGCTCATTTAATATTTAATAACTAAGTAAAAGAAAGATATAACCTTTGCTAGTACCCTCCTAGTGTTTTGTTAATGAGGTTCAGGTCTTAAAAATATTTTTATATTTTAAATTTAGATTTTGTAGTTTTGCTTGCACCAATAAAGAATAGAATACATTTCAATAAATTTTGTGTTTGGGCTGAGCTGAACGTTGGCTAAGCATGGGCACATAGTAATGCTAATTTTATTAAGCTCTATTTTCTCAATGTTTCATTGAGATTTCTTGTAGACAGGTAATTGAAAGAAAGGTGGATGGTCCAGAGGCCACTTGAGTTTGCCTAGTACATACCATAATTGAAAGAGAAGAATCTTGTTTGCATTTTAGGCATATACTATCATCTGTCTGTTTCTGATTGTGAACTCTGTAAGAGTGATGTGGGAACTCTAACAACATTATCTCAGTGTAATAGCATAACCATTTCCTCTGCCATTTTTGGATAACTGCATTTTCTTTACAAATTACCAAGACTTTCAGGTTTAAAGTCTGAAACTATGAGAATTGCTTTTTGTTGCATTCTAATGGGGGAAAATCTTTTGTTCTGAAACTTTTTATGGTTTTGAATTTTGAGAGGACAGGTTGATAAAGTAGATCTGACATTTAAGCAGACGGTATAGTGGAAATCAGTGCAGGAGAAGGCCAGGCAACTTTGACACCCAAGTTTTTTGTAGTTTGATTTTTCTTACATGACATAGAAGAAGCCATGTTTATTTTCAAACTACCTGAAGCTTAGAGGCATATCATTGATATTCCTGATAAGGTAATGTTTTAATTAACAATTAATTAGTCAAATATTTATTAATACCTTTTTATTTATTAGAGCTGAGCATTCTAGGGTACAGTTAAGAGAAAAATCAATGCAGTGTACCTAGTTTGGTAGGGAGGAAGCAATAGACAATATATTACTTGCTAAAATAAACATAATTATAAACCCTGAAAAGGTTGAAGAAGAAAAATACAGTGGCGTGAAAGCATATGTGGGGAGAATTTGGCCTCATTGGGAGAACCAACAGCTTTGAGAAAAGCAGGGCATCACTGGTTTTGATCCAGGATTGTGGGTGAGAGAGCATTCCAGGCAGAGGGAACAGCAGCTTTATTAGAAGACTAAGCAGGATTTTGAGTTTCTCCTTTTCT